AGGAAGGCGAATAATATCCGCGAACGAACTCTGAAAGCTGAAGAGGTAGCGGACTTGTTTCACAAAATAATAGTGGATAGTCCCAAACAACATGTTCCATTCAGCCAAAGACTCTTGGGATTGTTCGCCAAGAAGCTGCCCAGCGAACAAGCTTCCGAGCTGTACTCACTTCTCCAGCGGTCAGAGATCAAGATCCATGCGAATACCATGATACAATTTGCGAGCAAGCTAGCTAAAGACCCTGCCCACAAAGCAAATGCCTTTGGGATACTCCAGGCATTATCTGACAGCGGTGCTGATTTGAACGAGGCCCGGCCATCAAGCGTCATTACTTCATTGCTCCACTGTCAAGTACCTGAGGGAGTAGAACCGACCCAAAATCACGTCTTCTCTCCGCAAGATGCCCTTCAATATTTTATACAAAGGGGGTTCACGTTGAACCTGCTTAGCGCGACGGCTTTCCTCGATACCCTTTCCCAGCAAGGAGAGGTTGACGAGGCAATACGGCTTGCATTGCTCTTCTCTGAATCTGGCATTCAATTGGACCATAAGGCTTGGGCGACCGTGTTCAGAGGAGCAAAATCTACTCGTAATGTTGAGACTGTTGCCAAGGCACTGGACGTAGCCAAGGTGGCAGATGTTCCATTTGTGGAGGTTCTGAACAACGCACTTCACAGTGCTTTTCATTTTGCTGGGATGGAAGCGGCGGAGAGGAAGAGCCAGCTTCAGTCTCCCCAGCCAAATCTTTTCGGTCCTCTGCTACGTATATACGCCAAGAAATTCGACCTCGAACCGCTTCAGTGGTGGTTGCCAGACTCCCTGCCGTTGTATCTAGCACAGGGTATTGGCCAGCGAGGCCTTGTCCCGGGCAATACATCGCAAACAAGATGGCAATTTGAAACTACTATAATGCCGTTTGTGGATCAACTGTTCTCATCAGGCGACGACACAAAGCTGCAACCAAACTTGACCACCATCGCAATCATGATGCGGGCCTACATCAGGAATCTGCAGCAGCCCTACGACCTAATGGCATATTACCAATTCTTCAAGTCAAGATTAGAAGAACAGAGCAAGAATGCTTCTGTCCCGTCAGCGTCCCGACTGATCAAGAATCAAGGCAGCCTCATACACGACACTCTCATCTTCACAATGACAGAGCGCGGTGAACTCTCACGTATCGCTCTCCTGATTTTCGGCGACATGCTCAAGGACCAGCTGCACGCGAATGCCGCAGACGGTGAAAGGGTTCACGTGGAAAGCGACGGAGTAGTGGCGACAGCGGCGGTTCACCCAGCACCGACGGTGTTGACGTTTACAATCTTACTACGGGGCCTGATGAACAACCGTGACCGGATGCTAGTGGACAAAATCATTCAGGTCATGCGCGAGAACGGCATTCAACCCAATTTAGTGACATATAACACGCTGACAAGCGGGTATGCATCGATGCAAGATGTCGCCAAGACGGTGAGCACGCTGCAGGACATGGAGGCAGCGGGGTTCAAACCTGATTTCTACACGTTCAGGGCGTTTTCGAAATTGAAGGACCAGGAGAGAGCGCTTCAGATGATGGAGGACATGATTGAAGCCAACCGACATGATATAGGTGCATGACGAGCTGCGAGAGTAACACATGAAGATGCATTGTTATGCGGGCGGCGTTGCGATCGATCACTTGATACCATATAGAATTGTACACTAGAGTGAAATATATGTAAATGTAAAAATAAACAATATGACTTATGATGATACATACAACTATTCAGGCAAAAGTGTGCATTATCTATCGTTGGCATGATATATTCGGTGATGGCGCTGATGTCCGAAGGCCATCTGGTGGCTCATCCTGCTCCCAACCATTACCATCAATTGTCCATCACCACTCGGCCACTTCACTCATCATGTGAAGGCTGCAATGGACATATTGATCTCATGTCTCAAACCAGAAACCAAGGGCCCAAAATAATCGGTCCTCGAATCAAATTTCTTCACAAGCTCTAGACCTCCCTTGAAGCGTGAATTATACTCCTCCATGTAGCAGAACCTCACCCGTTATCAAGACATCAACCCACGAATGCCAGAAGCAAGTCTTCACCACCCCCACGACCGCCTTCTACACCAACGACTCCCATCGCATACGACGCAACTGCTCTGCCCCATCATGCACCGCCTGCCAACGACCCAAGTCGAAATGTGAGCGACAACAACCATGCGGCGCCCCCTGTCGTTTTGGACGAGCAGCACGCACAAGCAGCAGCTATTGCTGGAAAAGATGGTCAAGGGGTCTGCGTCGCATCTCCCGGCCTCGGCGAAGGGCCACGACCTCCCGGATGGTCAAAGGCATGCCGACCACGCCCTTCTTAAAAGGTGGACGCCCTGCTGATGATGGCATAGATTCGTCGTATCTGCACGCGGCGTCTTGGGCTGCGCTTATGGCTGGCATAACGGGACACCCAGACTGCTTCCGGCAGCGGATTGATCGTGAGAGGAAGAGAACGGGCACGCGGGCGAGGGGAAAGGACTAAGAGGATCGCGACCTCTTGCTGGGCGGCATCCCGTCCATCAGTTCTGTCGGCGGTACGAGGCCTTTTGGCAGGACCCCCCGTCGGTCGGCATCCTCTGGAGAAGCATCCTCTTCTCCGTGTTGGCACTTGGCTCCCAGCGTTGTGCCGCTGCGTCTGGCTCGTAGTCCTCCGGCGTCCTCTTGTCCTTCCAGCACGGCATGCCGTCCATCATCGACGACGGGCCATGCGACGCGGAACCGCCGTCTGTCCTCACCGACGACGACTTTGACTCCAAGACACCACCACCAGCCTCCCTCCCTCGTCGTCGTGTATTCTCACAAGGCGGCGCCGGCCCGGATCATGCGCCGCGTCGTCCGCTCCGTCGAGCCACAGCCCTACTGCCACGTCCTAGCCCTCCACGACGACCATGAGAAGTGGTACGCCGCGCTCCCACCGTGTCTCAAGATTTGGACCGGCATTCACCTACCAGGAACTACACCATCATACCGCCTCATTCTGGAGATGATGCATTTCAAAGGCCTGTGTGTCCTTCACAGGCCGTACCTCAGCGCGCACAAACACGACAACAGGTACGCTGGCTCGCGGCGAATTCTACCGAGAATCCGCAGCCAGGATACTACATCACCACGTCGAGTTTGGTTCGGCCACACGGCCCGGAGACAGGTCGTATGAGGACATGGCACATGGTCGCCAGTCTGACATACCATCACCCCCTAATGGCAGCCATGGAGCTGCGCATCGATCCAAGCGAGGCGTCGGACTACAGGTACATCCCATCCAAACCTCTAGCCTACGGCTCTCAAAACGCGTATACTAGCACGCCGCCAGTCCGAAAGACAAGTCGTCTCGCACCCAGCTCCTCGCACTCCGTCCCCTCCATCTGAGCCTCCCGAGCGTCCCGAGTCCAAAGACGCCAAGCACGCATCCCCAAGTCCTGCGAGCAGTGCTGAGCAAGCTCGGTACACCCCCAACCAAGTACCTCTCCCCAAACGACCCCATCCACAGCTTCTATCCCATGCAAATCCCCTCGGGGATATCCCCAACATCACCCGGGAGGACAGGCAACGTCTCAATAGAGAACCTGAACGGCTTCGCCCCGTCCTAGAAACGCCGCTCAGCAACGGCACAGAAACAGTCGACTGTGTTTGTGACCCCGTTTCCTCATCAGCCAGCCATCAACCTAACCCAGCCCAGCACCCACCAGAGCCTCCTCGATCCCGACTGGAACGCCTAGCCCTCCCCAGCTCTCAGCCAAGGCATACCACAGCCTCGAGTCACCAATGAATATGCACCGCAACACGGAAGAGAAAGAAGAGAGAGAGAGGCCAAAGTGAGGCGCAGCACAGCCTTGTTCCTCCAAAAATGCAATCATGCGCATCTGCTTCACTATTACACGACATAAACCCTTGTACAAGTATTCCCCCCCGCCTCCCCAAAACAAAAACCAAACAGAAAATTGGAATGGCGGTCTGCGAGATTTAGTCACAGTCTTGTCATGTTTGGACGCGGCTGGTTGCGTGAATGGGCTGGAGGCCGCAGGGCAAGAGCCCGAGCCGCAGCCAAGTGTTGTTTGGATCACGGTACACGTCTGCTTTTCTTTGGTAAGGGGGGTGTGCCGGACCGAAGAAGGTTTTTTTTTTGTTTTGGCGAGGCCACCGAAGCGCGCCTGAACAGGCTTCCATTATTCCAGAATGAGGACGAATGCGAGAGGCCTCTGGAGAGACGGCGACGTTGTACAGAGAGCCATTTGTTCTTCTTGCCATTGCAAACGTGGACGTGGACGTGCAACAAAGTGTGATTATTTCAATTTGAATATCTCTGGGTAGTTGGGTATCTTCTCGCAAGGAAACCTGGTCTAACCTGTGATGGAAGAGCTGGGCCAGGAGAGGAAGCAAAGGAAAAGGGGAAAGAAGAAGAAAAAAGACAAAATACACAACCACTACATTCCTAGTAATAGAGCCAGAAACCCGAGTATCTACTGCATCTCCCATCCATTCCCAGTACCAAAACGCTTCGCAAACCCTCCACTACGACAAAGTTCAAGTCGTATTTCCTTCCTACGATCCGATTCTAGTATAGCTCTTGGACCGTATAGTTATACTGCATCCGTCCTAGAATTGAAAAAAGAGGAAAATATCATGAAACTCTTTTTTTTTTTCTGCTTTGATTGCGTATATCTGGCCCGATATGACAGTTGTACTAGATGCTATGACTAGGCCATACTCAATTGCTAGATCAAACAAAGGGCAGACAATATTGTACAAGAAAAATATGTCGGTCGTACACATGGGTATCATGACACAAGATATGGCAAAACAAAAGAAACGAAAAGAACAACAAGAACGAAGGCTGTACGGACGCAAAGGTCTCTAAAAGCTATGGTGCTATCCCTATGCCTCGTAGAACACGAGCCGGGTTGCCAGCAACGACAGTGAAAGGCGGCACATCCTTCACCAAGGGTTAGTTTCTTGACTAGCAAAACAAGAGATGGGGGTCTTGCGAACGAACATTTGTAACAATAGATCCAGCTCCGACAGTGCTTCCCTTTCCAATGGTTCGGCCGGGTAGAATGATAGCGCCGCCACCAATCCAGCAATCTTGCTCAATGGTGATTCCACGCCCAAACTGAGGCCCCTGGCCGCCTAGACGTTTCTTAGGGTCAATGGGCAGTGAAGCGGTAAAAATGCTGACGTTGGGCCCAATCACACAATTGTCTCCTATCTTGACTTCGCAGACATCGTTGATAGTACAGTTCCTACCAATTACCACGTGGTGGCCAATCGAAATGTTGTAGCCATAGTCGCAGGTGAATGGCGTCTCAACGGCGACATGTCGACCCACACGGCCTACATTTGTGACCGGAGATGCTTCCGTGGGAGACACACGCACGGGATCTCGGGGTTGCAGTATTTCTAAAAAGAGGCGCGCTCGTTCATCGGGCGATACACCATTTGTCGGTGGTGTAGTCAGATTGTTAAACCGCCAACATGCGGCTGCACAGCGTTCTCGTTCTAGACACAACTCTTTATCAAAGGGATAGTAGTGCCGTCCAGAGAGCATTTCTTCCTTCTGAGTTCTCCGCTGTGGATATTGTGGGTGAGACAAAGCCAGCTGCGCAGCAACTTGAGCATTTGATGACGAAGACTGTGGATGTGGTGTCGGGCTACTCGTGCGGGTTGGATGTAGGATGTTGATTTGCGGTAGGTGATTACCTGGGTGCGGCGTCTCCGGCTCATTGCCTCTGTTGAGGTCATGTAGAGGTGGTACTCTTTGGTAGTCTTTGGGCATCCTTTCTCCAAAGGGGGGAGGCTGCGTATTGGCGCTGACTGGTGTAGGGAAAACATTTCCAGGAGTATACGGAATTGCGGACAATTTGTTCTCTGGACTTGTGGCAGACGCGCTTGTCATTGTTGATATTGTTGATGCTGTTGGCCGGTCGTCATCCGTGGCCAGAGGTCGGCCTTGTGGGGTGTCTATGCGAAGGATCTGGCCACGATAATGGGGTAGTGGTTCGCGTTTGACGGGCTGCGGCCCATACGTGCCATGCTGCGGCATGCCGTACGCTCCAGGAGGAACATAAGACGGGTCCTTCGACTCGAGAGGTACAGCAGGTGTTTTTGCATCTTGTTTTGGCCATCCGGCTCCCCGCTGTGGTGGGTATCCCGCGCAAAGAAATCCCCCCCGAATGCAATTGCTGCCTGTGTTTCTTTGTTAGTTCTCCGGTGGCCCGAACGTTGGGGGAAGGAGGAAACGGAGGGGGGTGTGGTCATCAGGATGTGGCCCTTCCTTACATTCAGGCTTTTGCTCATCGCACTTCTTCTTTCTTTTGCGACATGTCAGACAACCGGTCTTGGTTCGATTGCTAAAGTTTCTCTTGCGCTTTTTTGGGTCATGTTGAATAATGGAATCTGATCTGTGCTCGGTGCCGTAAGGGCTTCCGTACGTGCCGCCGGGCCGGTCTTCGGCATCGGGGCTGGTGTTGCCATAGTCACTATGATCCACCTGACTTGTAGCTCTCCGGAGAGCATCGCCAATTTGTTCCTCAGTCTGTCCCCGTGGTGACGTTGCCGAATTTTGTTGTGAATTATATCCATTTCTCTCTTCTCGTGATTGTTCCTGGCTTTTCCATGAGGTTTCCTTCTCTCTTTGATCGTCGCTATAGTGCCTGCTTTCTCGCTGGGGCGTACCGTACGCCTCCCGAGACTCATTGTGAGATGCACTGGGTGTGTCTTCTGGAGTACGCTCGTGAGCTCTGCTGTCGCGTCTAAGCTCAGCAGAACCCGACCGCTTCCGTTTGTGTGGGCCTTCGCCTTCCGGATACTTTATTGTCGGAAGGGGTTGACGATCCGTGGTATGTCCTTTCCAGGTGTCATTGCGACTGGGCTGGGTTTCTGGTGACTTGTGTCGATAATTTTTGCTTGACGCTGGAACTCGTTCATCTGAGGAGAATGCCCTTTCTGAGCTGTCGGTGGGTGGTTCATTTGTCTTGGGTGAGCCTCCGTTCAAGGCTGTGAAGGTAGACATGGCAGTTGCAGCTAAATTCCAAGATGGCGAGCCGAAATCGAGATGTTGCAGTACAAAACTGGGCAGAAAAACTTTCTTAATAGACGGCAGGCAGTAGACCTGGAATCCTTGCAGGTACTGAGTACCTTGATGCCAATTCAGTAATAACAAAGGCGCGGGCTCGCAATTCGCATAACTTTTCGGGGTCCAGCCCACGGTTTCGTTGAGACTTGAACGAAGGCCGCTTTCCGCTTATAACTCTACTGTGGACCGCCCTGTTGCGCCTCAAACACCAAATTACAAACACCGCTGCCCTGTCGCAACTTGGCAGCTTCCCCCATGGACTCCCAACAAGAACACTGGTGGATGGTGTATCAGGAAAGAACAGCTTGAGAATAAGTGTCACAGTTGGCGTGATTGCATTGCTCGAGCCAGAGGAGGGTTGGCAGCACTGGTTGTTCAATCCCCGCAAAGTGGTTCGGGAGCTTTGGTCGGGGGGAGGCAATCTGCACGACAAGGGACAAGAGACGAGGCGCGAGGCGAAAGACGAGAGGTGGGCAGTGTAAAAGCAGCTTGTCAGCCTTTGCGTGGTTGATTCGAGAGGAGACGTCAGGTTCGCAAGCTCGTAGGAAAGCGCAATGGCTGGGGCGAAAGGGACAACGGAGGAGATGAGAGAGGAAGAGACGGGCGTGCGGTGTCGCTGCAGGCAGCCAAGGGATGGAGAGGTGAGGAGGTGTAATGGTCAAGAGGTTGAAGATGGGGCCCTTTGATAAGGACGACGGCGAGAAAAGATGGATGAAGGATGGGGTCAAAGGTGCAAAGGTGCTAGCTAAGGTCTAGAAGTCCCAAGGTGCAAATCCTAAGGTCGGTTCGGTTTGGTTGTCGGTTTTGAGGAAAGTACCACTCGCACGCAGCTTCCTCGAGGACCCCGGCAACATTCGAAGGCCTGTGTGCGCTTGGAGCACTTGAGCGCGCACCAGACCCGACAGACCAGACCCTTTGATCACACACGCACACACGCACACACGCGAGCTTCAGGTCCCTACCAAAGTAGGAAGCAGCAAAAGCAAATGAGCAGAGGCAGATTGCTGTGCCGGGTACAACCAAGGTACTCCGTACGTTGTCACCACAGACGTGGAAGGGCCCGCTTGCAAGGCGTCAGTCACTTTTTTGGATCAATGGGCGGAGGCGGATGGGCAGAAGCGACATCCAAAGGCGTGGACAAGCACGCGGGCGCCGACGTTGGACTTGGACTTGGACTTGGACTTGGGGCGTGGCGGCATGGAGCACAACAATCCTACGGACGAGGAAGCAGTCACAGACAGCGTGACAGTGACAGTTCAATGTTGGGAAAAGAAATTGAAACACCGGCAGAGCGCCGAGGCGATCGCTAAGCCCGGAAGCCGCGCTTTTCTTCGCTAGTCTGGCGGCGGCGCACAATGCTGCCCCTTTATTGCCTGTCGCCTGTTGCGTGCGCACCCCACGCACCCTTGCGACCTTGATGCTGCTGATTTCCGTTTTCCGCTGCCCCGGCTCGTCTACATGTATGTACTTCCGTACCCTGGCTGAGTCTGCCCCTCGTCGGGCGGCATGGCGCTTGGGACGGGCTGCGGATGGGAGCGGGGGGTGGGGTGGGGACTGGGGGGCGTGTCAATGGACAGGTTGACAGGGCCCAAACGAACACACAAGACGACCCGACGGCTCGTCCTCGTCGTCCTTCCTGCTCGTCAAGAGTCAAGACGTCGTCGACCTCGTCAAGGAGATACAATACGTATTATTGTACGGAGCACAATATGGCGAGGCACTGTACAACACGGCACTGCACAGTGCACTTACTGATGCAGCTCTCGAGAGCACCCTCGAGCCAGGGGCGTGGACAATCGTCGACGTCGGCACGTTGGAGGCGTGCACGCAGTCGTGCTTGACGTATTCGTCTGTGGGTACTCCGTACTCGATACAATATGAACAATACAACACCACCATCGAGCACATTGAGCTCGACTCTACACCACGTTGGCCAACTGTGACACTATTGCAGACACTCAATTCCAACACCATCCGCGTCCATGTTACCAGCATCACACGCAGAAAGCAGAATGCAGAACGCAGAATGCCCACCACGCCCGTGTCCGACGGCCGGCACACTGCTTGTGTGTAATACCAGACATCACTCCGGCATATCGAATTGGATCATGGATCGGCTAGTACGCCCAACTTCCTCCGTGTTCTGTGCCCCGTAACTCAGCAAGCAATGCCAAACTGAGAGCTTGTTGTGCCACCGTTGTGTTACTCCCTGTTGCCATGAGTTGAGATGCATCGCTGAGCCCCGTCCGGGCGTTTTATACTGTTGGTCCAACTACGGCTGACCGACCCTGCAAGACACTACAATTGATGCATGGCCATGAAACCGTGGCAGCCAGAAACAACACTATAAATACTCTCTTCCACTACATTCAAGCTTCCGCTGCTAGAGACGGCGAATCCAGCAGGATGCTTCACGTCCCCAAATGTCGCTTCCATATCCACATGCGTGCCGAGAATCGTCTATTGTCCTGTTAGCCATTCATTCAGCTAGCTCCGTGTTGTCTCGGTCATAATCTTGCCCGGCATCTGTCTGTTATTGACTCCATTATGCCGGTCCGCAGGACAAGTCCCGCCCTCCTGTGTCCTCCCTCGCCTTGACCAGTCTTGCCCAGGTCTCCTATGGGCTAGCAGCCGACTCTGTTCGGTGCCGTATCTGAAGAACGATATTAAAAAGTCATTCGGCACTGTGCTGTGCGACGCCAGAGGCGAGCCAACGGATGAAACTGTGAATGATCATTTCTCGGCCGAAAGTTAAGCTGACCGTAGGCTGCCACCCAACAAGGGGTACGACTCGCAAAGACAATAACTCAGAGCAAGGAAGGGGGGGGCTCTAAAAATCTTCTCTCTCGGTTTCCGGTCCCCCGATACCCGTCTTCCTCAGCCCACTGTATTTATCATCTCTTGAATGCTGCCATAATAGTGAGGACTCCAGGAAAGCTCGCTGTCTCATCAAGCAGTCTCATTCGAGGAACGAATTTCATGGGTAACAGACAGCAGCATGGCTAAGAGGTGGCTGAAGCAAAAGCCGATTTGCCGTAGCTGCTGATAAAGTCGGCCTTCGTCAGCAGGCTCATCCAGACGTCAAACCAGCCTACGGTCTGAGCTACTGCAGGGTGCACTGGGAGACATGAGCTTGAGACCACTTGAGCAGCGACGTTTGAGGACGTCAGTGTTTAGGCACTCAAGAACAGCGACCGAGGACCACGGAAACAGACAGCGAAGGGGTTGTGCGAAGCAACATTGAAGCCATGACCCTGACCTGGATGCGCCTGTGGGGCGGGCGTGGCCGCAGCAGGAGCTGTTTGCCGCGGCAGGGCCGCCTTATTGCTCCACCAGCGACTGCCCTGGTTTGCACACACCTACGGAGCAGGTACCTCAAGGTATGCAGCTACTCAAGTACTGGGCACTTATTTTACATGCCAAAATGAATCTAGGATGAAGTATGCAGTACTCGCTACGCCGTACATGTGTACAATCGGCACCCGCGGTCCCCACTCAACTCTCAAGCTGTCTGCGCTTTCGGCCTCTCGCGCCGTTCATGACAGCAGCCATTCACCGGGAGCGTGTCACGTCGTCCTGGTGCGGACGGTGAACGGAGACGTATACATACTGCTAAGGTAGGTTGGTATTCGATGCTGTTTGTTTGTTATCTGTGCGCTGGCAAAAGGACTGAGAGCTAGACGTCGTCTGCTTACTAGCCTCACCTCTGGAGCTTGACGAATACTCGTCGTTGGGATAGCTGGGGTGTTCGCAGCTTGGGCATTTCAGTTGAGGCAATTGCGCCTCAAGATGCGGTGCTCGAAGGGCCCAAACATGCACAGTATTGAAGCATTCAAATATTGCATATTTCGGCACAATACGGCATTTCCCCATGCAATCTGTGCTTGGCAGGGCATGTTATTCGTGCCAATGCTACTCGGTCAAGTACATGCAGAGGTACATAACAATACGTATCTCTTGGCCACGCAATAAGCAAGTACGCAGTGCGCGTGGTTCCTGCCAAACCGCAGCCAGCACCAAATTTTGTCACGACTCATATTTCATCTCTTTTCATAGAGCACACAGTACCATCTGTGACTTCATTCCGCCCTAGATCTTGCATAGGATACTTGGCCACGCTTCGGTGTGAATTGTTGGAAGTTAGCCCGGTCGATGCAACCCTACGCAGTTGGCAGGTTGGCAGGCAGAGAGCATCGACTGAGACATCGGAGTCGCAGAAAGTCGAAATCTGGATCACCAGCATGATGCGACAAGAAAATTGCAGACCCAGCTTTATTTTGCGCAGGACCAAGTTCGTTCAATAGTATCGATACATATACTGTAACTACCTACCTAGGTCCTTAGGCAAGTTCGCCCGGCACACTACCATACACATGTCAACATCTCATAAAACTGTTTTATCTCTAGCGGTATGTCAAAACATACGCAGCCTTGTCAATGGCAACTAAAAGGGTTTCATTCCCAGGTACATTGAACTGCCCGAGCAGCCTTCGTTCGTTTAATAAGCTAATCTAGTCGGCCGAAAGAAGCACATCGATATCGGCCGGTTACCACTATGCTTAGATCAGCTGTCAAATCCTGAAGCATGCTCCCAGTGCCCGAGGCACCATGGCGCATTTCCCAGCATCCATTATTCCGAATCAATAGACCTTGTTGAACTGGAATAACCAGACGAAACGATATATAACAGGGCCTAGCTTCCCGTCTCAATCAAGTTACTATTTTGAGAGCTGGATGCACCAAAGACCCACGTTCGATGCGCCTCGGGCATTTACAATCAACCAGGGGCACGGTTACAATTGTCCTCGTATAGCTTGATTCTCTGAAACTGGCTGTTGCTGCCCAGTGAACCAAGTTTCCATCGACCACTTTTTCTGGCCAAATCGGTTAGGCAACTCTTAAACGCACATTCGCCACTTCCAAACGGATGCTTGTGC